TACAAGATTGGGTTCTTACCTGCTGCGCTGAAGATACCGCTACGGCGCGCGCGCGCGCGCAAGAGAGAGAGAGAGAGAGAGAGAGATGAGCGATCCAAGATTGGTTGTCACTTACCTGTAAGGCGAGATTGCAGAGTCGGCTGGAGAAGGAAGACAGCGGCCATAGCCGCGGAGCATTAACACAGAGTACCAGTGGAGAGAGGAAGGGAGGACAGAGAAGGAGGGACTGAGGAGAGAGAAGAAGAAGTGTGGAAGGAGGAGATTGAAGAAGAAGCCAGACATAGCCGGGGGTGAAAAAAAAAAAAAAAAAAAAAACACAGCGAAAGAGAAGAAGAAAGAAAGTGAAGGAAGGGGAAGTAGACGGCGAGGGTGACGAAGGTGGAGGTGCCGGCAGCCATAGCCGAGGTGAGGCGTTGACCGGGCGTTGACCAGACCGCTGACCAGAGGGTTGATTAAGGGTTGACCAAGGGTTGACTAGAGGGTTGACTAGGCATTGACCAAGGTGGTTGACCAAGCGTTGACTGGGGATTGCCAGCGTTGACTCAGCGTTGACCAAGGCGTTGACCGGAGCTGCTGACCAAGATTTTGACCAAGCTGGAGTTGGTGATATCTCGTTGAACCTTCATCCTATCCCCTTACCCTGTGGATGTGCACTTACCCCGCGGTACTTGCTGAGTCTGTCTGTCTCTCCTTTCTGCATTGAGTCTCTTTTGTCCTAGGGGCTAGGACTCTATGGATGAAGGATAGGACCTTGCTGCCAAACCTGCACGGGCTTAGTAGGACCAAAGCTTTACTCTGGCATCTGGAGACCTGGGCATGAGCGGCGAGCGCTCGTTAAACAACTCATCTAGCCCAATGACCAGTACTGACCGGCAAGTCTACTGAGTTCAGTGTGAAGGGTCCGAACTTCGGGCTGTAGGCTGAAACGGGGGTCGTCTTCAAGTGTTGAGGCCTGGTTGAACCACTCCCCTACCGGACCTACTACAACTGATGATTTGTGTCTGACGACTCGACTGTCCCGAGGGATACGAACCCCTCCAAGGATCGGTACAGACCGGCGGGCTGCTCGGTGTGGCACAGTAGGCTGGAATGGCTGAGTTGTGGGCTGAAATCACCAGAGGAACCAAGCTGATCACGTCGTCCTGTCTGCGATGTTAAAGAATTTTTGCGGAGTTTGGGGGATCTCATTAAATGCCTTCTGATCAACTTTGAGTTCAGTAGTGACAACCTTAGAGTAGTTGTGAGTAGTGGATCTTAGAGAGTCAGTCAGTAGGTCAGTGTGTCCGGGTAGGTCTAAGTGGTGAGGAGTGGGACTCTTGTCGTGCACCTGACATCACGATGGACGACTATCCGATGTATGGGTTGCTTGTGGGGTTCTCCCTCTGGGGGACCCTTTGGCATCTCCTCTTTCCTCTGGGGTTCTGGCACACCTTCACGTGTAGAGTAGATACCCGGGGTGGTGCCTCCACCAAGCCATACACGAAGGAGGAGGAGG